ACTTGGGTCCCTGGAAGTTTTTCCCAGATGTCAGTAGGAGCAGGACCAACATACACGGGAGCATACTCATAAAACCAGTCCAGATTTGACACTTAGCTATCTAGTGGGGGGTGTTTGGACCCTCTTATGAACACTGTCATGTCTTATATTGTTAATGCATGGGATCCACTATCTCCTCGTAAATACGAATGCGACATGGTCCCATCTTTGGTCCTTGGTGGGACAGTGTTTCACATCCTCTCCATAATTCTGTGGGTAAGCAGAATTCTCCTTGCCCACTTGATGGGGGAGTAAAGACAACTGTTTGTAAATCCAGACTGGATGAGTTCTGGACTTTGGTGTAGTATGGCATATGATCTCATCAATCCAGACCTGTGATGTTGCCTTTTGGACTTCTTCAGTTTAATCAGAAGAATTGTCCATTTTGGTGTTGCTTTCTTTCATAAATCCAGTTATTCAAAATGCATCATTCTGTGGTTACTGGTAGGGATCCTATCACAAAGATATATATATATATATATATATCTGTGGTCCAACTGCCCTGGCCACCAATGTGGAATGCATTTGCCCTGTACAAGGAAGTTCCAAGATGTGCTGTGATTGAATAAAACCAATAAAGGTAAATGTAACATAAGCAAGCCTATTCTTTGTGTATAGAAATGTGAGAATCTTGGAAAACCATCAAATGGATTTAAATATTTCATTTTATAAATCAAGTGACATAAAAATGTAACACTTCAATCAGCTAACAAAATATTTTGAATGTGTGCATTGATTTTATTCAAAAACACTCTAGAATTGTAAACATGATTCAGTTGAACTACATGTAATGTCTCCTGTTTGGGCTTATTGCATTCAAGTTCTTTGAGTAATAAATATAACTTTGTAGGTTGAATAAGTAGTAACAACAACTGACCAAGATCAAAAATGTTATAAGTATTATAAATAGTAAACACATTCATAATGTTTATCATAATTCATAATATATTTCCCAGTGAGTTTTGAGTTTATGATTGAGCAGTACAATAAATATTTAGCAGCTATATAAGAATTTAATGACAATATGTAAAATTACAGAGTTATTTTAATATTGCAAAGACACTGCATATTATCTTTTGCATATTTATGTTTTACATGTGTATATATGAGTGGATTTCACAGGATGTTGAAATTCATTTAGGCCCTAATATTAGCAGTGCTACTACTGAATGACTGTTTAAGCAATAATCATCTTAGCTTAAAGACTTATAATGTTAAGTCATCTAACACATTCATATTTTTATTGGTGGAACATAATTTAGATATTACAGTGATTGTTAGTGTACAAGGCGTATCACTTTACTTGGAGACGCAGTATTTTTGGAAGAGTGAAAATTGAAATGTGACAAATCAGATCTCAGTTGAAAGCCCACATCATCAACTATTCCTACACTTAAGGTAGATGATAATACTTCAAATATGATGCAGTGTAATCTGTATAAAACTGTTCTAAAACAACATTGGATTTATTTTTTAAATTATTGGGTGACTTAGATTTAAGGGTATGATCTAATCTAAAAAATTCTGAATGTCTGTTTTTTCTTTTTTCATTTGAGTTACATTTACCATTACACATGGCAATGTTTATAAGCTTCCTAGACAAATATAACTCCTTTATAATGATGTTAGTTATCTTATTGTTAAATATTTGTGTGCTGTGCTGCTATAAAAACATTTGCATTTTCCATTTTTCCTTGTAAGCTATCAAAGCATTAATTGTAATGTAAGGAAAGTATTTTCTTATTGTTTACCAGCGGCTTGTACTTTTGTAGCTTAAATATTAAGTTTTAAGTATAGAAGATCAAACATTCTACATTCTATTACCTGGTTGTAAACATAAGCTGTAAAAGTGATGTTTCACTCTTTGTAATTGCAGATTTACAAAGATATATTTTAATTTAAAATTTAGTTTTTCTGTCTTCACCTGATATTCCTGGTTCATCCTGATAGATTTACTTCTTTATTATGTGATGGGATAGATATATCTTGTACCCTCGTTTGTCTATTTGCAAGGTTTGACTTTCCACCTCCAGGGAACATATTTTTTCAATTCCACAGACTAAAATTATTTAACTTTGGATATGTGGGGTTCCAGCTTGGTTCATGTGATAACTTTGAACAAATCCCTTTTTTTTTGCATTTGTTTGCTCCTCACTCTTGCTCTGTGATGTTTCTTCCCCTGCAAGTTGTTGGCAGCCTATCAATAGCCCCCCAAATTAATTTGTGGGCAAATGGGTTCTCCTACTGACTTCTACTTTGCTCACATTGCCTGCTTCTGTTCCTTCTGTAGGGATACCATGGTAAAGGGACTTTACTGTTGTAGCCTCTGAGTGTTACATGTAGCTTCTTTTTATCAACACTTCATGTTCGAGGGTGTCCCAGAGGCATTTGTATTGCAAGTTGCTGTCACCCATTTGCTTTTTGTTGTTGTTGTTGACCTCTCGACCTTCTTTGGCTCTAGCAGCTGAATAACCTCAGACCTTAGTTTCAGGGCCACTCCATTTGGGCCAACTTACACCAGTGGAATTGGTATCAAATTGGGGGAGGTCAGTTAGAGTGAAGTTACAACTATTGATGGACACCTGGTATTTCTTCACTGCAAATTCATGGGCACTTTGGGTTCTGCTATCAAGGTTGGTCTTTTCATTCAATTCTCCACCTCTATTATCCTCTCACCCTGTAGTATTACCACCTCCACCTGACCACCAGGGTGTGGTAGTGACAGTTGATCCCATTCTTCACAGATTTCATTCCTGTTTATTTGTTGTGCCTGAGACAGGGGGAGAATCGAGGATGACTGTAGTTTTTTCTCGTCTCACTCCATCCTTTGTTTTCTTCGTTTGTCTACTACCCCCATGGCCATTTTAACATCTGCTAGATTATGCAGAGGAGGGAGTAAATTTGTTTTTTTTTTAGGGTCTCTTACATCTTGCTTTCACCAGATCCCAGTCTGTGTCAAATGTTGCCCAGACAGTTGTGCTTTTGTCAATCCAATTCTGCATTAGCGACCCATTTGACTATACTTAATTCTGGTTGCAACAAGCTCTGTAGAAATGAGATGTTCCATAAGACCATCTAGGCACATTTCCAGATGGCATTACCATATTATCATGGACTGCTACTCATGAACTATCATGAGTAAAGCTAAAGGAGATTCTGCCTGTCCCTACCGATCATCAGATTGAATAAAGCAGGGGCAATTTGCTTTTAAAAATTTAGGGACCTTGGTTCACCTATTGCACTGTTCCTCAGGACTCCCCAACACGCATTATCCCCCAAATTTTACTAGTGGAGCTAGAGAGTCCTATCCACACCCAGTTTCCAGTTACTGGGGTGGTGGACTGAAGCTTTTCCTGTAGAGTGTTTGAGTATGTTCTTCCACTCTTGGGGAAGATGGCAAAGCTGGGGGCCCTCCTACTCGGGTCCCTGTATGTATTTCCCAGATGTCATCAGGAGTGGTGCTGGCCTACGTGGGAGCCTACTCATAATACCAGCTCCAAATGCAAAGTGGTCCCATCCTCTCCCTAATTCCGAGGGCAAGTGGAATGCTCCTTGCCCACTCAGTTGGAGAGTGAGGATGAATGTTCATAATTCCAGACCGTATGAGTTCTGTTTCTTTGGTTGAGTAAGACATGTATAATCCTGTCATTCCGAGCCTGCGGTGGTGATTTTTGGATTTTTTTCAGGTGGAAGAGCAAGTTTGTCCACTTCAGTTTTGCTTACTTTCTCATTGTAATTCCAGTGGTTTGGAACACATCACTCTATGGCTACAGGTTGGGATCCAATCAATTGTCTATCTATATATCACATTGCAATCCAATTGCCCTAACCACTAACATGAGATATGGGGATCATGACCCCTTAATTCCAACCTTGAGTTGTGGAACTTCGGTTATCTGGTTGGAGCTGGCCTATTCTGATTACTCATGTACTATTCTACCCCCTGATACCAATATTAACTTCTGGGTGAAGAGAATATCTGTTCTGGATGTAGTGTACCCCACTTCGGTACCACTCTTATCTTAGTACACCCTGTTCTATACAGATCCTTTCTGTATGGACAATGCCCTCACCGGCCCCTCCACCTTCTCAATGTTGGTTTCTAGCTAAAGTGTCAGTGGGGGGTAAGTATGTTTTGGGTGGAAGTTAACATTTTCCTAGATTGAAAATGTGTTTCCAATAATACTTACTTCTGCTGACACTCTCCCACCCTTCCTCCCCACTGAGAGCCAGTGTTAATGACTGGGATATGGTGTAAGTCTCAAAAAAAAGTGATTACATTATCTGAGTGAGGTGCTTATGTACAGTGTCAGGATAGATGGTGGTACATTGACACAGGTGGAGGGATTTTCAAATTAGATATTGGCAAGGGCATTTAAGTGGGGTATAAAAGACTGGAGCATGTGAGATCAATGCTTACATAGGCAAAGCCAATGTCAAGGAATAGCTAAAGTGTCAGCAGAGGTAAGTGTTATTGGAAATACATTTTCAATTTAGGAAAATGTTAACTTTTGTTTCTATATCTTTCTACAACAGTTTTCACAAATTATTATTTCATATTTTGTGTTTGATTATAATTTTGCATTTGAAATCTACTTTATTTGTCTCAAATACCACACATTTTTATAACCTCCAAAGAAAAGTTTTAGTCTATAAGATATTATTAGATTTATCTTCAGTTATATCCTCTTCATCATATGAAATAATGTATAGCATAGTTCATTTTAAAATTTTGTTGCCATTTTTTTTCATTTATACTTTTACATGTTTTTTAAACATTTTAGTTTTTGTATCTTACATTAAAAATAGATAATTTTAAATTTTGTAATAAGTGCACTTTAATTTATTAAAATAAAACCTTTTAAACCACATTTTCAATATATTTACTAAAATTGTTAATAAAACGTTTATAGACCTAATATATATATATATATAAATTTTTTTTTTTTTTCTCATAATAGAAATTTATCCAAGACACGATAGAGAAGAAACAGAAGAAGACGGAGCTAGTTAAAAGAAAAGAGAATGTACTAGATAGGTTTAGATCTAAGCACTAAATCAAAGAAAAAAGTATTCTACCATTTTTTCAAATAAATCATGAGGAGAACTAAAAAAATTTGTTTTGTCCTTTCATACAAAGAATCTTCAGTTATATCTAAAAATTCTTTATATTACAACTTTCCAAAAAATAATAGAAACTGAATCACGAAGTCGTACTACCTTAAGTATTTTTCTACATTTTGTCTTTGTAATAGTTTTCAGGTAAAAAATATAGTAGCTTCAATAATAAACACAGGCTGACCACTTCATTTAAATCATAACATACACACACTCACAGAATATTCCATTTATCCACATATGCAAACTTTATCATTGATTGTGTGATGTATTAAATATTAGTGTGAGTTTTACAGTCATATCATAGTTAGTCTGCTTGACAATGGGTAAGAAGAAGGATATCTTTGGCTTTAAAAGGGAAATGTTAGTGGGTGTTTTAATCAAAAATGTTTCTTTGAGAGGCTGTTCAAAGGTATATAACCAGAACTTATCAACAGTGTCAATTAAAACAGATTATGTCTGCCATTAGAAATGACATTCTAGTAATCTCTGGCCACAGACTAGTATAGCATAAGATTGAACAAGTTTGTAAAGTGTAGCCCATGCCAGACAATTTCCCATTTGACCATGAATAAGATTTATTTTTTTTCTAACTCTGCCCTAGAAACACCCTACAAACCCTGCTATATGACAGCTGATAGCAAGTACAAAAAGTTATATGTCACATTCATAGAAACAGTAAAGCATGACTTCAGTGTTTTTAGATCATAAACTGTGGACAAGAAGCATGTAATGTGGTGTGATGAGTTGCAAGCAAACTTCTGTATAAAATACAAGAGCAATTAAAAAAGTTTTAGAAAATTAATTATGTTTTGCCTTGCTTATCACAGCAACTTTTATTTTTCTAAAAAAGTTCTGTCACCAGAAATACACAAGGAAATAAAATACATCATACTATACAACTGTCTAACCACTTTCTTTTGTAGTACTTTGCACCATTGATACTTTAAGAAAAGAATAACAGCAAACTTTTTGCATGCTCTTAATTTTCCTGCCTTTATGATATTGTCATGCACTGGCTTCATTTGTCAGTATACTATATGACTTACAAGTTGAATATTCTTCAAATAAATTTTGGTAAGTCTGTCAGTAATAATGTACTACAGTTACAAGAATGATCATTTTCAAGTGATAAGATTAAAAAGTTTTATTAAAAGGTCTTAACTCCACTTTAGAAAAATAATCAAAAGTCAGCCTTAATTATTGAGTTTCATTAAATGGTAATTTTTGACTATATGATGCAAAGAGGTGATTTCTAATGTTTAGGTATATCGTTTGGAACTTAAGAACCACATCAGTTTTGTCTTCAGTATAATTCATAATTTTGATTTGATTTAAAGATAAAACAAGTTAAAATAATCAGGAAAATATTTTGTGCATTATAAATTGACATTAAATTTAAATAATCTGTTTTGTGACATTGAAAAATCTGATGTACTTGTAATCTTTTTGTAGTGTAAAAGAATGTTTTTTTTCCTCTAAGAATTTATTTCCCTCAAAGATAATCCTAAGATGTGAAATGCAGACTATTGTTTTTTCTGGGTTTTGAATTTTGCTGCCTTCAGTCATGATGCGGTTGTGTTTACTTAGTATGTTTTAGATTGTTCTTGTTGTAGACTAGAAACCAATTTTTGAGAACAAGGAAGAATTGTGGAAATATTTCTATTGTATGGTTATTCCTCCATCTGTTTCAGGACCTCTGTATTTGCCATTGCATTAATATATTATCTATGGAGAACATGTGTCAGTCCACTTTAGATGGTCATTTAGTCACCACAGTAGTTTTACATGTCATATCAGGTTTTTTATTAACTGTACAAAATCTTATGTTAAAAAAAAAATTTCCTAACAATTAACACGCATATAATTACTTTGAGCATGGATACAGAGTATGAAGGAAGATCTTTGGTGTTGCATCTGTGAAAAGTAGTTATAAACATAGCCTCTTCAAAATTTTAGTATAGGAACGTGTATTCACTTTAAAGTTCTTATATTGACAACACACGGTCAGAACTAGTTAGGTGCATCTCTCTCTCTGTATGTGGACATTATGACTGTTTAGAGACAGAGATGCTAGAAATAATTTTTTTCCATTTTAATAACATTAGACTAATTGGATGTCATTACATGTGTGGATATCCTGCTAGAGTTTAGAATTGAATATAGAGATTGTGTGCACTGTTATTAAAAATGTTTAGTCTTTTTTTTTTTTCTTGTTAGACTTATTTACACTTATCTGTTCATCTAGTGGTTATAAGTGCACCTTAGAATAACACAGACTAAATTATTAAGTTAGAGTTACAGTGTCATGACCAAGGATTTATTGCAAAGTTTAAGTTTGGAATGATTTTTTGAGCTCTTAGTACTCTGTAAAGCCTAAGTTGGAATTCTGTTCAAAGGAAAAGGTAATTTTCAAGGCAACAAATAACTTGCAGGAAATGGGGATATAGCTATTGAATATGTGGCTTTCACATTAGATCAAGAGAATAATGCAAGAGTTTTCAGTTCATCACTGGACCAGGAAGACAAGTTAGAGCTAGGGAATTCCCAAGCTACCAACCAGGTTCTCTCTCTCTCTCTCTCTCTCATTTTCATTTTTAAGGTGACAAAGGACTTATATTAAGAGGAGGAAATAACTGCTGGATTGTAGATCGCAATGGGCTTTTAGAAACTCTCTCCTGGATGTATGGCTCTCACCTTACATGCAAATAGTAATATAGGAAATTTTAATTCATCACTGGACCAAGATGACAAACCAGAGCTAGGGATCTCCCAAGCTACTAAGCAGGCTCTCTCTCCTTCAATATGTGAAAGTAGCTCATGAACATTGAATCCCATGACAATATTATACCCAGTCAGATCTCAGAAACAGTGGACTTTGCTAGTGGTTTTTTGTAGTGTTATAATGAGTCAGTCTATGTGTTGCTATTGTTTGCTTATCTCATTCAAGATTATTCATTCATTTTGAACACAGATGCTAATGCTGATGGAAATGGTGTTATCACAGATACAGGAAGGTGTGGAACATATAATTTTCAAGCCCACTGGACAGTGATGGCTTCTGTAGTTTTAATATGTGTCAAACACTATAGGCACAACTTGTGTATTAGGAAGTTCACTACTTAAGTGGATCATCCCTCAGTAAAAAGCAGGTGAACATAAAAAACCTGAAAATATGACTGTACATTGGATTATAGTTTTACAACACAGCTGTTGTACAGCAAAATCTAGTGCAGTAGCATAATAATGCAGGATTATCTTGCCAGATGGTGATGGCCTATCAGTTTGTTTGATGTTCAGATTCTGGACAGTATGCTACAATAATGATGATAAACTACAAATACTGCAATTATTTCTGGGGCTGTTCATGATGATCCAAAGGAAGAAGTACCAATTGTAGAACAATTCAAGAGATTGGCTACAGCAATGATATCAACCTCCAAACCAATAACTATTGTATGTATTTAAATGCTTTTCAGTTAGTGACATCAACAGCTAATAATCTTTATTTTCCAAACTATTGGGTGAATCAGTTTCCTGGAAGACACTCATTCACAACAGCTAAAATGCTTTATGATTTTTGATAAGAAGTTAAAAGATTAATAGTTAGAAAGACTAGTGATGATCATTAGAATATTTGATATTTGTGTAAGTGGAAAAAAATTTGCTATGCTTCCTTTATGCAAAATCAAGTAGACTTTTATAGTCAACATTGGGAAGAGTTTATTTGAGATTCCTTTTAAGAATACTGTGTGTATATGTGTGCAGTTTTATACATCTGTACATAGTGCAGTGCCTTTGGCTGTGGTGGATCTGTATGTCTTCCATATGATAACTGTAGGGATTGTGCACCTAAATAGCATGAGTGATAACTCAAGCTATGATAAATTACAATGGAAGAGTCCTTGTTTCACTGGACTTTAACTGTCTCTTGTGATGCTGGCAGTAGTGGATATAGTGATCCATATATAATAGTACAATAGTGGGCAACATGGCTAAAGGTGGTGATAGTAAGCCAGAATGTTGAACATATTTTACCAGTTGTTATTATTATATAGGTCATTTTATCAAGCAGCATAACATGTATATATATATATATATATATATATATATACATATATATTCAATGAATACATAATGCTGTATTATATGTATATATGTTATTGATGTGTTCAAGATTTTCATTAAGGTCACTCACCATATCCAAAGAAAAGTATGTCCAGTGTGCATGTACCTGCTCAATTCTATTTGATCTTGTGTGTATAATAAAGCATTGCAGTTCCGTTTCACTGGCAATTTGTGTTTTGTCTTTTTTTCTTTCTTTTTTTTTTTAATTCAATAAATTAGGAACCTCTAGTTTTATACTAATACATATTCTTCTGGGTTTATAGTTAGAACATGCATTACTCTTACCTGTAAGTAATCAGTGTACCTCAGAATAATATACATATAAAACTACATCAGGCAACATGGAGTGTTATATCTGTATTTCAACTCTTAAGTTATTCAAACCAGTTTAGACTTAATTTATAATCCTTCAACCGTATCTAAGATATATCAATAATCATACATTTAACATAAATATGTCATATGACCTCCAGTTCTTGTTATTGTTCCAACAGTTATTGTTAGTGTGCATTTTAAATGGTATCCAGTGCAAGGCTATCATGAAACACACCCATTACTGGGACTTGTGTATTGTAAAATAAAATCATTGTGTAATGTTGTAATATTGTAATTATAATATGAAATAATAATTTCAAAAGTAGTTAACTAACAGTTAATAGTTTGGAGTCAGGAAAACAAATCATAATGCATTTATATATTTAATCAGCCAAATATGTGCTCGCAATGAGTCGCAGAGCTATAGCACCAGAGGTAGCCCTTACTGTAGCTTTGTTTCCAGACCTCCAACGTTTTAGAGGTATGTGTCATAAAAACTTCTATTTATAGTATTGTTGGATACACAATACTTTAGTTTAAGAGTTATTATTTAGTTTATTTGGTAATTTAATATTTAATGATTATTTACTTTTCATAACAAAGAGTTAAAAGTAATAGTTATGACAAATTTGATTGCTTAACTTGTAGTATTGTTGATTCCAAGTTACTCGAATCTATGGTACTTATCTCGTTACCTTAAATGAGTATTACATTATATCGTCACTTCCATAGTTTATAGAACGTTCGAGGCCTCGGTTAACAACGTATAAATATAGGGACCAAGCGAGTACAAGTCAATTAAAGTTCAGTCAGAAAACGTAAAGTTAGCTGGTGTGTGAGTGATAAGCGATAAGGGGTGATATTTAGAGTTTCACAGTTTAATAGAAATAAGGATAATAACTTGTCTAGTCAAACCGTGTTCTAAAGTAATTGAACCCATCTATGTGGACTTTGATGAAAAGGAGACAATTACTTGAAGTTCAGGATACAACTGTGGTAACCCACGGAGTAGCGTAAATGAATTATTCACTGATTCTATTGTGATAAGAGTAGAGAAGAATAGTTCATCTTGTCAATTGGATTCTAAATTAATTGAATCAACCTAAGTGGACTTTTGACAAGAAAAGAGAATTATTCAGAGTGTTAGATACAACTGTGATATTCAGTAGTGTAAAGAGTTTTTGTACATACACAAATAAAGAAACTCCAAATAACACTAGCAACTGATTAGTGTCGTGAAACGTTGATAATTTTGTGTTGTAATTATTTGAAATTGAAACTAGTGTTTATTTTTAGTTTAACTTCGAAACTTTTATAGATGTAAGAGGGTAGAATAGGTACAATAAATATCTTTATTAATAA